AAAATTAATAATTTTAGTGTTAATTAGGAACTGATCGATATAAAAATTGACCAATCACACAAATGTCTGCTATGCTGGCAGCCAGTATATCACATGCGTAACATATAATCGCTGCTCATATAAATTTTCCAGTAGGGTTTTCATATGTGTAAAGTTCTATTCCTTCCCATAACTTAATGAATTGATCAATCACGGGAGCCAAATAATGGTTTAATTGATGCAATTTCAGTTCATTTGGGCTGGAAATTATTGCTAAAGTAATAATATTACTTGGTTTAAACCTTTAGCTTCGTGGTAGATTACATATTACTCTATACATCACTCCTATACTATATTGGGAATTGTCATACGGTTGGAACTAATCAAGGTTCAACATAATTCCTAGATGACTATCCGCTACTTCATGCTGAAAAAACAATTGATTATTATTTGAATCTTTAAAAGTTTTCCAAATTCTTCCATCATATATATCTGATAATTCCTGACAAATATCGGGTCTAGTTGTTCATATTCTACAGGATTTTTCAAATTCTTTCGATTTGTACAATTAATGTAACTGATTTTTTATATTAGCAACAGGAAAAATAAGTAAAGGCTGGTATATTATTGTTTTTTGTGTAAGAACTTACTTTGTAATAATATTATTACATAGGAATCTCAACTTGGTCATCGGATGATTCGGGAAGTCTTTGAATATACAATAGTATAGTTTATCAGTTGTCAAATCTTTTATCGCATATATTTTACAGCATTTTTTACAAGTTGCGTACTTGATCATGTGATCGCTGATACTAAATAATTTCTGTGCCATATGTAAAGATTTTGAAAATTCTGAATAGATATTTCTATCAACCAAGAGCAATAGATATCTCATAAACTTTATAAGAGAATTAATAGCAATATCAGATAGCCGATATCTCTCTTGATATTTAAAAATCTAATACACGATCCACGCAAATCCCTGATCGATGTTCGTAAATAGTATTTCTACACTTTTATCTTCATAATCAGATTCTGGCGCATCAAAATTGACTAGTTTGACGTTATTTTCATCATCATCACTATATTCTTCTTCTTCACTACCCTTGTCAATATTATATTCGTCAATATCAGATTCGTTAACATCATGATCATCATCAAAAAGCTGTTTGATTACGGCCGTTAGAAAACTAATATGACCACCTAGTTGTTTTTGCTTTCCTTTAGATGATTTTGAGCTCGTAATAAAAAAATTAAATTCTTGGTCACTGGCAGGATCATCGGATGATTTTGGGCCCGTAATAAGAAGATTAAATTCTTGGCTGACAAGATCATCATTTACAATATCTACGTCTATATTCATATGATCACCTAAAATATCTTCTATCATTCCAGAAGGTGATGCTATCCTGGAAGATTCAACAAATCCTCTTGATCCAAATTCCTTTTCTTTCGTATGTAATTTTCTT